GCTGTGTGCGCCCAACCTATACTAGTGCGCATTGTGGTACAGCTGGAACCCCCCCCCCCGCGCATACGCTATTTACGCTATGTATTAACTCTCATATCTCGCGAGCGAAATAAGAGTTACATTTCTAGAAATTCTACATACATATAGACACATGTCTTAGCTAATAATCTCTGTGAATAATGAGTTTATTGACGCACGATTAGTCATATATTAGCAAATATATGCGCGCTGTATCGCCCTCATAGTAGGCCTAATATTACGCACGGCTATAGACGCCAGGCAAGTGTATTTAACTCTCATATCTCCGCGAACGAATTGAGTTACACATCTAGAAATCTAGATACCTATAGACACGTCTTAGCTATAATTTTTGTAAATATTGAGTTTTATTGACGCACGATTAGTCAATATATTAGCAAATAGATGCACGCGGAAGTGAATTACAGCAATGATTAAATGTTCGAACCACCCAACTCCAAACTCGACTCTGCGCCCGCCGGCACCTCGCAACACGCGTGTTTGTTTACATATAGCTTTGTGACGTACGCGTGTTCGGGAGTTCTGCGATGATAACCTCGCAATTTCTCAGCATCTCATAAGGTGAATGGAACATTTTACCAATTTAGTGGTGTCAGTTAGTCACGGATATGTCACAGTAAGTACTAACCGTATATGTTTTACATACGTTCAGTTCACCTATTTTGCACACAGGCGGTCGATCATTGTAAAAATTGCTGTGAATATTTTATTTTATTGAGACGTTCCAACTCCCAAATGCCTTGCTTTCAACAGTCTTGTACGTCAATGCACGTGCGTCAAGAGCCACAAACTCCACACAATTTCATCTCTGTTAATGTTATTGTTGACGCCTGAACTGCGTGATTGATCAGGGAGGCGGGTGCATGTAAGAGCCTGAGGGAGACATTTTCTTTGGCGGTTCCGAAAAAACACAATTCACTTGACAATTTCATGGGCCTTTTCAATTGCGAAGCTCTGCATAATGGAGCCCCAACAAGCCCTTTGACTGACTAGTCAAGAATTCAAAGGTCTGTATATTGCTCTTATTTACCGTTCAGCGCGATAGTTCTTATTTAGAACAAAGTCTTCATTGTTAGCTTCTAAAAACTACAGACCATTCCGCCTGACACTGTGGAGACGTGCTATATATATATATATATTAGTGTAAGCGTACAACAGTCGCGCCGCGAGAGCAGTGGTATCCGGCAGCGTACGTTGGACGTAGGATTTGGACGGAATTTACAGGAAACTGTTGGCAATAATAGGTGAAAGAGAGTAGGCCTATAGGCTATAGAAACATTCGTATTTAGTTAGCATTATATTTTATTGAAACGCTTCAAGTGCCTGTGCTGACTAGTACCCAGTCTCCACTCGGTAAGTGCAGTGATGTTCAGCGTCCGCTGCCAGTACTAGCGAATAATAATTACATATCAATTTAAAGCATACCTCTTAAATTTAGTTTTCAATGTTGTAATGTAATGTGCTTATTACCTAACATTTAAGCCACAAACGAATAGCATTCTAAACAATAGTACCCAGTCCCAACTCGGTCATAGCACTCGACCACAATTATAATATACACTAATATATTGACTAATAGTGCCTCAATAAACTCAATATTCACAGAGATTAAAGGTAGCGTCAATAAACTCAATATTCACAGAGATTAAAGGTAAGACATGTGTCTATATATGTATCTAGATTTCTAGAAATGTAACTCAATTCGTTCTCCAGATATGAGAGTTAATACACTTTCCTGCCGCCTATAGCGTAACTTAGCGTATGCCAGAGCCGTCTTTATATATACGGCTCTGTCGTATGCGCGGGGGGGGGGGGGGGGGTTAACAGCTGTAGAGCGGTAGGGGGGTTCGGAGTCTGCTGGTTCGACAATTTAATCATCTGTAATTCATTTCTAAGGAATATCTGCATTGGGCACCCCCTCTAATATTTATAGTACTGCCATAAGCTACAAAAGTTCTGTGCCAAGTTTGATACTTTTGTCACTCCTGTAACGATTCGGCCCATATTTTGCACTAAGGGACCTGACTAATTATGGCATGCTATATAGCAAGTATGTGCATTACAATTTACATGTTTGAAAATATTTTATATAGCATTATCTTTCCCCATTTATTTGGTTCTTAAGTTAACTAACCATTTTCAAGCTCTGCTATTGAGAGCTAAAAAATAAATTAGCAGGCTATTTTCATAATAACCCATATTTTCTTTATTTGCTTTGCATACTGATATCCCAACTAAGAACCTAAATGACTAATTCGTTTAATGGAAAATTCATTTAAAGAGCATAGAGATATATGATCTCATTTTTCACCTGCATTTAGTTTATAGTTTGTAATACTGTAAAGTCACTTATTTTCGTGGGTTCCAATTTTCGTGGTTTCAATAAAAAATACATGTTAGTGGGTTCTTAAATTCGTGGCCTCCACTCCGGAACCGGCAATTGACATATGTACATAATATTTCGTTGGGTACATAAATTCGTGAATTGATGGACCCACGAAATCCACGAAAATTAGAACCCCACGAAAAAAAAGGATTTTACAGTAACATTTATTATTGTGTGTTTATGGACCAGGAGGCAATACAATCTACGATGTCTCTCTTTGCAGGAGGCTGTGAAGGTGGTGCAGCCACTCCTCCTTGGTGGTCTGGTGCGCTACTTTGCAGTGGGCGGTAGTGTGCCAAAAAGCGAAGCATACCTTTATGCGATGGGCATCAGTCTGTGCGCTCTGTGGCTCAGCATCGCTCGACACCCATACATGTATGCACTGCAGCACCTAGGCATGCAGCTGCGTATTGCGTGCTGTGCAGTCCTCTACAAGAAGGTAAGTGGAGCTTGAGTGTGAATAAGACAGGGTTTCTTCTGATGGAGGTTTAGACAAAGGAGATAATGGCCAGTTTGGGAAAAAACGCGCATGGCAATAAAAAAGCGACCCCACGTCACATGACTCAATAAACGCACATGGCAATCTAAATATGCCAGAAGCACGTGGTGATCTATTTATTTTTGGGTTGACACTATTTTGACAACGGCAGGTAAATACAGGAACATTTTCACAATGGCGATGTTAAATTTGATAACGGCGGTACGCCACTGTGCCTCTTATGTTACGTATAAGAAACCCTGTAAGAGTGTTCTCACGAGGAGAGTGTCACATACTCCATAGTCACCCTAATGGATATCGAAAGCAATTAACTGATGCTTTGGTTTGAATGATACAGCAGTTGGTTTAGCTTTACTGTTTAGGAATTATGATATTGCCAAATCAGTATGTGACGTCATGTAGCTACAGTTCGTTAACGTGCAAGTAGATTAACTCCACTCACTCTGGCCAGAATGTATTGTGTTCAATGTACCAATAAGTCAAAGTAATGATTTCAACAATCTTCTCGACCTGTCTCGTAGTTTTCCGACCATTACAATACCTAATGATATTGCTTGGCCCTGGTTAACAACCAGTGACTAGTAAGGCTAAAATGTCGTAGAACGCTCATACATCATTATGTTTACCTGTACTTACCCACCTGTTATGTTTATACACTTGTACGACAACAGAACGTCTGCTAGTTCAAGCTCGCTTGCCATGTTATAAACCCCTGTGACTCTGGTGTATTCAGTGTCTGATTTACCCGGCACGTAACATTTTTACGTTTCAGTCATTACGGATATGCAACAGTGTCCTGTCCTACACGCCACCAGCGGAAATTCTCGGGCTCTTAACTAGTGAAATCAACAAGTTTGACCAGGTAATTTCTGTCAGTACATTTAGCTTTACTCAGATGTTGATACGAAAACTCCAGCTATTTAGTTTTACAGCTCTAGTCTGTCTGCTCTCTTATGAGTTTATCTGCTCATTTGAGACTATCTCTACTAAATGTTGAAAACTGTTTTGCCTTGTGTTTATCAGGCAAATATGTGTTGTGCTCAATGTGCTGTCATCGAGTGTATGTAATTAATGTAATTAAACTGGTATGAAAATTCACTGTGGGCTAGCAAATTTCTATTTGCCACGTGCATGAACCTGGGAAGAGCATATTGGGTGGGGGGGGGGCTTGGGGCTAAGAATGCTTTGGGCGTATTTGCTCGTGGGGTAGCTATTTTGGTAATTATTATCAAGAGCTAATAATACGTAGAATCTATAGCAGGAAAATATGGAAATAGTGTCATTGTACATGCTATTTTCAATGCAAGTCTAGAATTAGTTCGTAGTATTGCATTAAAAGCAGCATTCTTTCTTCTCTAAAACAAGACCAACCGCTTGTTTATACAATACCCTAGGCTGAGATATTGGATAGTAATCTTAGCTCATCCAGGCGTTATCGGCGTGTAGAAATCGAGTGAAAATGTCTCTCGCACCTAAGCTTGCTTAGTACAGAACATTTACATTCTCGCAAAATAGGACTTAAATGTGTAGCCTTCTTAAATTTAAAAGCAAATGCCAATGAACTTGTCAACGAGTTGGTAATGAAATTTTTCATCCTTCATAAATAATACACTCCAGGTATGCATCAACTAAGAGATGTGGAAGGTTTCTTTGTACGTGGCTGAATTTGTCATTTGTTTACATAAATGGTGAAAATTGCGCCAATGCAAGGTCAGCTGGGGGACTGTATATCCAAGATTTCAAACTACCGTTTTTAGCTAATGATGCAAGCGGTATCTCTCATTCACTTGCACACGATATCGCAGGGTGCGAAATTAACGGGAGTCCGGAGTCAAATACTCCCTGATATACTGTCGGACTCCCTGATTTGACATATATGCAGGAGTCCGTGTGACTTCCTGAAAATTCTGCTATACTAACTACTTCGTTCCAGAGCACAGCCTCACGGAATTACCGTATTTGTTCAGCAAATATCCAAAGAAAATTTGGCAGACGTGCATCGCATGAATCTTCAAAATAAGCACGTGTTATTGTTGTTATGCTTTAGTTTTGAATTTCAGACTACGGACTCCCTCATTTTGCTGCGGCCCCGGTAGTTAATTTCTACCTCTGACATCGCTGACACTTTGAACACGTCAATTCTAAATCTTGTTAAAACTGGTGTTCGTTATCATGACGTGGCAGTAATGTCATCCCAGCCTCGCCTGAAAGCCCCAACTACAGTCCTTGTGTTTTGAAAAAGGCAGGCGAGTGAAAAATCACACACCTTGGCTTGCCGAGGTGTGTGATTTGCATCCGAGTGCCCGCAGGTCACGAGGCAAACTAGGGGGGTTCGGGGAAAAATTTGAAATCTAGACTTCATGAAATGCCATTTCCAGCATTTTGGGATAAAAATTAGCTCTGCATTTGTACTCTTAATTTGGACATTTTTTAGGTGATTTTTTTTTCATCTAACAAAATATCAGTTCTTGAACATATTGATGGATAACTTGAATCACACATTTAGCATGTTTAGTCAAAAAGTAACAACACTCAATTTTTCAAAGCAGACTATTAAAACTTTAAAAGTATTTGCAACATCATTCAGTCACTTGTTTGCATTTTTGTCAATTTGAGGTATTTCAGTTTAATTTCAAGAAAACATACATGTTTTGCAATAAAACTTCACTAAAAACCCTAATCAGGCTTTTTAATTTTCATTGTCAGCTGCATCTTCATCACCAGTCTCGATCTGCTGTAGCAATTGAATACAGTAACAGTCATATTCATCATGTATGGCTCGCGTATGATAGGCCGGACGGTTTTGGTTTTGGTTTTGGGTGGGTTCGGGTGCAAAGCAGTCAACGCAGGCAGTAGGCTTTGTGAGTTACGACGGTCGTGTGGTGTGTATGCGGTTCAGTGTGTAACGAAAGAATACCAGAGTCAACGATACGTCAAGCTCTCGTCGGTGATAAATAAATGAGCGGATGAATTGATGTTAAAGACTGCTGTTGGTATTTAAGCGTTACAACTGTCGTTATAAACATGTGAACCGACTTCCGGCAATGTCCGTGATGTTTACAACCGTTTGCGTTTATCTTCGAGTTTATAAGTTGAATTAATGAAAAACAAAACGCGAAGAGAGGTGTGCGTTTTGATAATGCTAGGTGGCAATAGGTGCGCGTTTTTTCGCACTTCTGATCAATCGAGGCGCGCGATGGCGCGCGAGCGCGATCGCGCACCTTAAAACACAAGGACTGCAACTATGCAAAAAACAGCAACTGAATATTCACTCTTTCATCTAGGAGGTGTCTGTGTAGCTAAATTGATTAATTTCCTGCATACCCTTAGTCAGGGAAAATGGGAAAAGAAAACATGTTAATTAATAATATTATTTTTAGCTCAGCTGACGAAGTCAGATGCAGCTTGTAGAATCGCATGATTGTCTGTTCGTGCGTGCGTGCGTGCGTGCGTGCGTGCGTGCATCCGTCCGTCCGTCAACAATTGGGCACAAATCTTAACCGCTCGACGTACGGTCTTGATATTTGGGACGTCGGGGGGGGGGGGGAATCGCGAAAAGGACTCGGGATGTCGAATTTGGTGGTCAAAGGTCAAGATGTGTCAATGGAGGGGGAATATTTCCCCTTAACTTAAGGTATAAGGAGGAAATCGAATTGCGCGCACAATCTCAACAGTGCTCGACCTACGCCTATTTCTGATGTATAGTGTGATGGGCAGGGTTAAACCATCACCTAGCGGCGAAATTGAGGTCACAGGTCAAAGGGCAGTGGGTGAAAGGTCAGATATCACGACATTTTTTTAAGACATGTCAACAGACCGAGTGCCAAAACTTTTTTGTATTAGCGCTGACCTTACTCATTTTTATCCACTTATTAAAAAGGACCGTAAATCTACTTTCCGCTGACGTGTGAAGGAGAAGTGTCTGAAAACCTTTGACCCTCAGAAGAGGGGTTAAACAGATTTTTGACTGTTCACGAAAGGACTGAACTTGCTTTGCTTATAGAGCCCCCAGCCACACCTACGCTCGAGTGCTCGGATGCATATCATGATAACATATTAATATAGCGAAGCACAATTAAGTTAGCAAGCGTATCTTTAATTACATGTACTTACCAGTAGGTTAGCAAAGGCCAATCATAAGATTTAGATCTGTATTAGTGTATCCAGTAGATATATGCTCTGGCGGCGCAACGCGGTGGCAGGCAGGGCGCACATTGATTTGGTTTGGCCAGTGGTTTATCAGAAGATACCTGGCTAGCAGTGACAACGTCAGTTGAGCGCTGTCGCTCTGCGGCACCTTATATTGAAATCTTTTATGATTGCATATTACTAGCGGATACCCGGCGTTGCCCCGCCCCCAGACAGGAAATCAGTGGCGTTACTCAGCTGGTGACTGCTTAAATTAAAATTAAATTAATCAATTAAAAATGAATTAAAAATTAAAAATATTACATACTAAAGAGGTAGGTAAAGGGAAAAAAGGAAAAAAGGGGAAAATAATTTCCGCAGCTGGTACTAGAACTTGGAATCTTGGTGTAGCAGTCGGATGTTCTAGTCATGAGGCCACTGCGCCATATACGTTTGTACACCATGGATTCAGACGTAATGTTGTGTGTATGTACGTGATCGCCATCTATTGATGAATAGAATTTTTTATGAATGTTTAACTTTTTAATTTTTTTTAATTTTTGTTTTAGCCAGAACCACCTCCCTCCTAGACTGGATTCTGAAAATATCTTTGGTTTTCCTCTAGGCTGCGGAGTTCTCTAGTTATGCGCGAACACACACATTCGGCTGAACAACTTTATATATATAGATTATGAATTCACATATACTCACATACATCATACATTCACATATTTTGTATGTACACCGTATATATATACAAGTACATACACACATAACTACACTGGATACTGAGTGGGTGGATGGATGAATAGATGGATAGATAAATAATGGTGGGGAGGGAGAAGGGAGGGACATTTCTATTGCGATTTGCAACAGGTCCATGAGTGTAAGCAAATTGCTGCCATTCACCTTTGGTGAAGGGCCAATGAACATAATGGGTTACATGTGTGTATGTGCGTGCGTGCGTGCGTGCGTGCGTGCGTGCGTGCGTGTACGATTGACATTAGATAAATGAACAAATAATTTTCTTTTAATGATAGGTGAACTGTAACAGCTCGTATGATTTCAGGCCATCATTTTCTTCCACTATCTTTGGGTGGGCCCACTAGAGGCCTTGGCAATTGTGATACTGCTCTACTGGTACATTGGGCCTGCAAGTTTTGCTGGATGTGGCGTACTGGTTGTGTTACCTTTCATGCAGAATCTCATGGGCAAGTGTTTCACACAGCTTCGGTAAGTGCTGCTATATTCTATTGTGGTAAGGAAACTTTATATAAAAATAATTATGGCCCTAACATAAGTTCTGTAAATATTTCTTTTATTTGAAGAGCCTATACCATTTTATGGGCATGGGGTGTTTATTTTTGGCAATCATTATAAACTTGTGATCTTCTATCCAAATAACTAGTAAAGTTTTCGAACAGTTTTTATTTTGTACTTTTATTGGCATGTTATACTCATAAAATAACACCCTCCCACTTTTTGATCCAGGTTCCAGTTTGGCAACTGGTTGTTTTGTTTCAAATGTCCTCGGACAAAAAGTAGCACGCGACATGTTTGTTCCCATTTCTATAAGTGTCCTGTGGTTAGTGTTGGGCATCACTTTCTACCCAATATCTGCTGTTATCTTCGCGGGTGATCCAAATGTTCTGAAAGCTCACATACATTGGTATATGGAGAAATAAGCATGTACATAAATAGCACCTGGTGTTAGCCATCGAATAATACTGAAATGTAAAAATCAATGAAATTTTACATTAAACCCTAAGTGTATCCTTAAAAGGATGTGATTGTTAGCCTAAATTTCACTGATCTTGTGTGTGTCCTGTACACACACGCATTGTACAATGGCTCCTGAAGCAGACATTATTTTCTATAGCTTGGTTTTTGAGCAAGCTAGAGAAATTGTTGCTTACCGTATATGATCGCGTAATAACCGCGGGCGCCTATAAGCCGCACCTCAATTTGAATCGGGTAACCAAGTATTGCGCCTAGTATATTTCCCTTCACGGTATGGCGCACTTATAAACCGCAGAGCAAATACAGGGTTGAAATCTGAGGCCAAATTTGCGGTTATTATGCGAGTATATACGGTATTTACCAAGTGTGGGTGTAAATAGCTTTTAGTTTCGAGTAGTTATAAATATAAGACCAGAAAGGTCAGGTGATTATTAATATTATAGATTGCAGATTGTGCAGTTTATACATAGCCCGAGAGAGAGAGTTTTCAATATGGAAAGACTGTAAGGGTCATAGATCTGCTATAGTACATTAGTGCCTGGGAATAGTATCAAATGCATTTCAGAGCTTCTAGACCACTCCAGGTCTGGGACCCTGGGCAGGCCCAAGACGCCCAGAAAAACTGCCATCGCGAGCCCAAATCCATAAATTCTCCCCTCCACTGTTAGACACAAAATGGCAGTAGGAAACACATTGGTCTTGCTCTTGGTCTGCCTGGTCGTGCCTTGCCTCGGTTAGGACTTGTTCATGTATTCGACATGTGTCAATAATACATATAAATGTTGTGCCTCAGTTATCTAATGCTGCTTTCTTATGTGCACACATAACACATGTTCCATAATTGTTGTGCAGACAGAAGACTGCTGTGTACACTCAGGAAAGATTGATGATCATCGTTGAACTGATCCGTAACATCAGGGGTGTGAAGATGTATTGCTGGGAACGAATGTTCACACACCTGATCGGCAAAGCAAGAAGGTAACTTATAATAAGCATAATCAAACCCTATATAATTTACTTAGTGTGAAAACTATTGTAAATTCCATACCTTCTTCGTTAAGACAACCCTATAACACGTTGTTGTATGTGTGTATATTGTTGCAATGTTGCTGTGTTAGTATTCTTCAAAGTGTTCCCAATGTACTTTTAAATGTCAAAATAACCCAGTCAAACTTGAATATATTATAGATATATTTATATTCTTGAAGTACTAAAACATGTGCTGGAATCAACACGCAATAATGTTACTAGATGGGCTAGCATTAAAAAAAACTCGAACGTTTTGCGCTCCTATGAGAAATGTAGCAGTGGTATGACATGATTACTCGTGCGTGACGTCACATGAGTGTTGTCAGGCTGTCGCGGCCAAGTGATACCATATTTATGTACAGTGTACAGTGAACTTTCTTTAGTGTGGATAGCGAGTGCGATAATTCATAATCAAGATCTCAACATCGTTCATGAAAATATTTAGCTATATCAATTTGAAGTGCTTGCAAAAGGAGAAAATAATCAACAGATATGTGAGAGCATTGATATACTACACAGGACGAAGACAACAGCGGTAAAGATATATCAAAGAATATTGTCTATTGAACATGGAATGGTTAGTGGCAAAAGGCTATACAAATTACGTATGAGGGAAAATTACGTAACCGGAGTTGTTGTAAAATGGAGTATTATTGTATTTCGGATTACAATACCTATGATTTATTTCGGATAACACATCCGTGTGCGTGACCATTCTGCGTTCAATGCGTGATCATTATTGACATCTTTAGTGCTGCTGTATTCATCCTATGTAGTATCACTAAATATAAGATGGTATGGCTCTGGTAGGGGCTGCTGCCTTTGACATACTATCGGTTTAAATTCCAATTTCATAATTATATTATCGTTAATGTTTATTCGCAGAAAAGAGATGGCACACATGAAAATGACGTCCGTTTTGCGAGCTCTCAACATGGCGGCTTCGTTTATTTCTGCACGGCTTGTCATATACCTGAGCGTGCTCATATACGCACTGCTTGGAAACAAGATGGACGCTGAGCGTGTCTTTGTCGTCGTTGCCCTCTTCAACGTGCTCAGACTTGTGATGACCTTCTTCTTGCCCTTCTCTGTGCAGCAGGTCAGAGACAGCAGGGACATCATTAAGAAACTGGAGGTACGGTCACCAGCAGTGCAGTCACTCATAGCCCCTACATGCCTAATTTCAAGTTCCATCGCATGGGCTTATTCAATTTTGATTCCAGCTAAACATATTACGGATCAAAGTCTATAAATAGGCGTACATGTGTCTTTCAGGGTCATTTTTGGGAGAATTGTTTGGGAGGAGGTTAGAATATGTTTGGAGTATTTACTCTAGCATTGTCTGTTTTGATTAGCGATATGCATCAGCGTTTGCCAATACTACCAGACCGCCGAACAGTGCTGGTAAATTATAGGCAGGTCCTATGAAATTCTCAGTTCAGCTGGAGTGTGTTTACTGCACTAGTATATCGCTCTTACAAGATACTACACCTATAGATTAGGCCAAGTAAATTTTTGCATTTCAAAAGTGGCATCTGTTCGAATATATTTTGGAGTAAATGAGGCCATGTCTGTTGTAATATCTATTAAATTAGCATCGGTAAATTCCGTGACATGGGGTCTGACATATTGTTACCCTTCTATGCATTGCACAGCACCATTCATTTTCTGCCAATAAAATTTGTTTCGACTCTCCATGCATAGTTACCTTGAGTATGACTATCAGGAGGACTGATTCAGATGGAGTCAATAGAATAAATCTGGACCGAATGTGATATAAAAGTAAAATCTATTCATTGGCGATCCCTGGTATGCAGGCATAGCCTTGCCTAGTGTGGTCTGCCTACCAGGCATTATTGATCCTGATGCTTTGCCTCAGTGGTCATTAGGCCAGGCTGCAGCATGGCACTTGCTGTTGTTTTCGCAATGTGAGTGCAAGATGTGTTCTCTGAAAGCAATTTTTTATGACTGTGTCATGGTGCATAGAATCTATGTTTGTGTGCTATCTATAGTTGCTATCTATGTTGCTACTGTTCTTATAATACTGAATGTTGAACTTGTGCAGAATTTTCTGCTGTTGGAGGAGCTGACGTCAAGACCACTGCAGACCAGCTCCCTACATCGCTGCCCGCATGACCGGTGCATCGCAATCAAAGATCTCACTGCTTCATGGGATAAGGTAAACTTAAGGAATACTTTACTCTAGAATTTGAGAGTATATTATGATAGTAGATTTATAAATAATAGCACATACCTATAAATATCTATAAACACGCATTCACGTTTGTCATAAAACAACATTAAATTTCGAAATCTTCATTTTTGGGCGCTGACATGACACCCGCGACCGTGCTTCCACCCTGAAAAAGTTGCGTATTTGACCATTTATTTTGCACGTTACAGACCGAGGGCTAATCACAAAAGTGCAATTATATTTATACCTAAATGCTATTTAACCGAACGATGTTCATTTTAAGACAAATTATCCATATTATAACTGAAACTATATGTCGTTTATAAGATATTGCAATCCTTCTGCTCTTAAATTAATAAATAAGAAACACCTTCAGTCTGTAGCCTGCAGCCGAATTCTTGCTTTGCGCAACTTTTCAGTGGGTGCGCTACCAGTGGCGCCACCGTCGTTGTAAGCAACGGTATAGCCGTCAGTTGTAAAACATTTAAAAAAAATATTTCTAATAAATATTGAACCATAAAACTTTTTATGAAGCGTAATATTAACCTAAATCATCTGAAAATACCCTAGAACCTAGAGTCAAGTATTCCTTTACTTGGTTATTGTGTAACACCTAAATCTTATTAAATAAACAGGGACAGCACGTGTTTTGCTACCCCTCTATTTTACACAGTTAAATGCCATTGATATTTTGATCAGATAAATAGGACAGGACCGCGTATAAACAGGATATATTCTGCAGAACAAACTTAGGTGAACGTTGTAGAATGATCCTAGTACCGTTTATCCATTTGTGCGCTCTTGTTAAAGACATGGACACACGGGCAGATACCGAAAATTATAAATGTACAAAAATAGAAGGAGGTGTCAATTTTTATTGAATAATTTATTTAATTATTTTAAAAAGAACTTCTATTTTTCTGTATTAATTTTGCTTTCTCTCATATATATATATATAGAAAGTAGCGAGTGTATATAAACGAGATACATAAAGATGCAGTTGCACAGAGCGTTAGTTCTGCTACGCTTTGGATTTATCAACATGGTAGTGGTGTCTAATGTGATGTCAATCTGAATTAACATGTTTGTAGTCTCACAAATGAATCTAGTGTAAACAACTCATATGAATGAGTATAGAAGATATGTTATCAAGAGCTGATATGTTGTCAGGCTTCTTAATACTTCTTAGCTTTCCTAATACGCTCTTGATGTTATGTATATGTGGTCTTCAGACAGTCATTTCATAGAAAAGTTAATCTTGTACAAACAGTATACTTACAGTACTTGTAGTAACTTTACATTGGCCATTCTATACAGAACTAGTTGATGTCGTAGGAACAAAATATACTTACTATACAATATGTGAACTTTGATACCTGCTTAAATTTTCATATATTTATTGGTATAATTATATTATTCGGTAAGATATAATGGAATTAATATTTTGTGTCATATTTTTTTATTATCAATAGATAATATACATTAGTCATTAAGCACTTATTTTTCTCCCAATTTTAGTCTTCCAAGAGTCCGACCTTAAACATGATCACATGTACTGTAGGATCTGATGAATTGATGGCAATTGTGGGACCACCGGGGGCAGGGAAGGTATGACATATGCAATGTATTGCCTACATGTAATATATACTGGTTAATCTAATCGTGTTGATGTTTTCAAACATGTTTAAATTAACATTGCTTAATGTTTCAAATATATTATTTTGATCAACTACTCCTTATACAAATTCTTAGCCATTCACTGCTTAGCTTGTTTTTTACCGTAATAGTGTTAATGTTGATATGATTTGTTCATGCCTTGTCGTGGAACTCTACAGATGTAAATATGGTACGTTTTTCCTTCCTATTGTGGCCACTGTATTGATAATATCATGTCAAAACTGTTTTTACCAGTTCAAGTCTGTTTGAGAAGTAACACTTTTTTATCATTCTTGAAGTAAAGTCAGTTATAACTCTATCAGTATTATTTCGAGAGACTGCTACATGCAAACATCTCTCTTGTCTAGACGTCACTGCTGATGGCAGTGGTTGGGGAATTAGAGGCATCTCGAGGCACTGTGGCAGTGCATGGCAGGTTGGCGTTCGTGTCGCAGCAGCCGTTCATCTTCCACGCGACGGTGAGGCAGAACATAACCATGGGGTCGGCCTTCGAGTCGGAGAAATACGAGAAGGTGGTGCGTGCATGCGCCCTGAAGCGCGACATCGACCTCCTTCCCCACGGTGATCTGACGGTGATTGGTCAGAGCTGCACAGAACTGCAGAAAGCGAAGATTAACTTGGCTAGGTGCGTTTTGGTGTCTATTGGTTTGTCACTAAGGGTCTGTCACCATAGAAGGTTTTGTCGCTGTTTGTTCTGAGACCAGATTATCTCACATGAGCGATAGAAATTACTATTTCAACTATTATATATTATACATTATACATATATATACTAATATATTAATTAGATGTAATGTAATTTCTATCACAAGTGTGTAATACACTGGCTTCACACAACAAAACAGTGGTCGAGTGTATGTAGGGTTGGTACCTGCATTAATATTATTGTGATATGGTTAACCTTATTCACTAATGATAGGTGTAACCATGAGAACAGTTTCACCAAATTCCTCGATTGGTTACGGCTGCAGAAATGTTAGCGTCACCCACAAGGTGTTGTAAAGTATTATGATTAAATTGTACATTCCCCGATCTCACCGAGGCAAACTATAGCATAACTAGAGCACTCGGAGAGCACAGACCTCCGCCAAGGCAGCTGAATTCTCTCGATGTGTAATTTTTAATCAATTAATTAATTAATTAATTGGATCCGGATTAGTGCGAGCGTGCAGGTGGGGGAGGACTGTGGTTGCCCCTTAGCCTGTGGTTGCGTGGTTGTAATTCTACAGCCAGCGCACCTAGCGGAAGTGAACTGAAACGTGCATGGTAACACACAAACCAACACTCAAAAACTCGCCGGTGAAAACATAACCCCCGCCATGCCCCTGGCGGAGGTAATAAAGTAGTTGATCAATGGTATCAGATATAGTGCTCTAGAGTAAGAGTAGTACACAAACTAGGTTTGTACTTCACGTCTTTGGTGGTCACTAACGTGCACTTTGGTGGTCACTAACGTGCACTACGCACTCCGTGCAGGAACGAACTCTACATAAGGTGAATCAAACACGACCTACGTGACCATTCATTTCTAATTGTGTTCTCGTCCCTTGCCCGGGTGTCTGCGCTTGAGCATATTAGCATTGCTACTGTAACAGCATTGTTTAACGCGGGAGTGCATGCTGCACCTAGTGCCACACCACCACGCTATCAGATTAACGGTCATTTGTCAGAGTTCACATTCCAAGTACAGCAGGTGTAAATTTCCTGATCACGGTCTTCCAAAGACGCGTCAATCAAATTTTCTCAATTCTGAAGTTGCCTTTATAATACCACACTCATGCGCATTATGTGATTCCTGTTTTGTTTTGCACGTTATGCAAATGCATACAAACATGATACTCTATGCAGGGCTGTGTACTACAATGCAGACGTGTATCTTTTGGATGAGCCGTTAGCACCATTTGATGCCGAGACTGCTAGATTCCTTTTCGAAAGGTAATTTTACCATGTGCGCAGTGTTGAAGGCTCCCCATCACAGGTGATGGAGGTATCGATTCAATGTTTATTGAAATAACATCTCCAGTGCATGCCCATAAGTTTTGGTAAAGGAAAACATTGAATAACGTTAACATTCTTAATTGCATTGCAATGGTACAGTATTCTAATGATGTGCATAGGAATGACCTGGTTAAATCCAAATAGGGTAAAAAAGGTGGTTACTATACTTTGGCAGGTGCATCAACGGCCTGCTCGGTGGCAAGTGCCGATTTATGGTGACCAGTGATATTCAGCTGCTAAAGTTCACCAGCCGTGTGATGATCCTAAAAGAAGGTGAGGTGATCGGTATCGGCTCACACAATCAGCTGCGCACGGCTGGCGTGAACTTCACGTCGGTACTCGAGGACGAGGATGAGGACTTAATCCTGCTGCCGGTGGCATTGCCTACTAGCAAGTATTCAAGCATTTGCAGCAGCCAGGCAGGCTCGATCCTGAGTCTGCGTACGTTTGCAGCCGTTGGGTCAACAGATGTTGAAACCCAGGTATGTTGTATGTTTAGTGTTTCCAGCAGAGAAGTTTGGTTCCCATCTCCATGCATGCATGCCCGCTGCACTATCACGCGGTAATCTCTCTCTCTCTCTCTCTCTCTCTCTCTCTCTCTCTCTCTCCTCTCTCTCTCTCTCCTCCTCTCTCTCTCTCTCTCTCTCTCTCTCTCTCTCTCTCTCTCTCTCTCTCTCTCTCTCTCTCTCTCTGTTCCTCCTTCCCTCCCTCCTTCCCTCCCTCTCTGTCTCTCGCTCTATATATAATATATATATATATATATATATATATATGCATTTTTTGTATGCAATTAGAAAATTCTTCATCATTGCGGCAACCCTTGTATAGTGGTCTTACATCAGTACATGGTAATTGTATAGACATGTTCATATTATTATGGATTAAGTTTGTAATAGAGCAGAAGCCAATATTATACTGGTAAAGCCTCCACTATACCTATCTGTGAGATGAGATTCACATAGAAGATCAGGACTGAATAGGAAATATTGGTGGTGAAGGCAGATTGAGTGGTTAAACTGTGCATTCTAACCTACAACCTCCTCTTTCTGAATCCAAAGAAAATCTGTGCTGATTATGTATCGAATTCCATATATGTAACCACATATAGTGGTATAATGTAATGGATCTATAATTCATAGCTCTGTCTCCTTACCTGGTAGGCTGGTACACATGTCCATGTATAATCAAACCCTTACTCTATTAGTGACATTAATAGAAAGATTATATTTTTCAAAGCCGGAGATGCTGCAGACATCTTTCCCAGTGATGGAGGAGGAGGAGGATGGTGAATACGAAGATGATGAGAGTGAAGGCTTCTCTACGTACCAGGGTTACTTCACAGCTGGAGGTGGCATTCTCGTCTTCATCCTCCTGCTGTTCTTCAATATCGTTGCTCAGGGAGCGGCCACCTTCAGCGATGTTTGGCTTGCATTCTGGTTTGTTATATTTCTGTAATATAGCTTATACCCCGTACAGACTGCAAAATTTGATATGGTATCAAACTGGCGCGTGCCAAATCCTAGCGTACAGACACAAAACTCTGAAGCGGGCTAAGTTGACACGTTCAAAGCAGCCTAACTTGGTTCACTCCAAGTTAACCTGCTTCGAAGCGGGCCTGGCCCTTCATTTGCGGGGCCAAATAGGTGCGGGCCAGCGCGTATTTGGAGCAGCATAGCATGTACACACTGTAAAAATTTGTCGCGTGCCTGGCGCGTACAAGTTTGATACAATATGAAATTTGCAGTCTGTACAGGGTATTAATTTGACGAGAAGTAAATAGTCTCGAAGAGATTGTTTACTTCTGATGTGACGTTTGCCTTTCTGTTCAGTACAATTAACAGTATTGTAGTTAGACCACTTATCTTTATATACTAACTGGATAGCTGTTACCCACTCCACGGTTAGTGAGAAAGTGAAGTCACTACGCCACTATCTGCTGTATTGCAACTACTCTAAAAAGCTCAACTATGTTGGCATGCACCCCGTAGTATTTAAAGTGGAAATGACGAAAAACGGCTCATTTTATCATTTTCGTTTGCCTGAAAACAAACAGTTAAACAAGAAAAAATATAGAGAGAGACAGAGTGAGAGAGAGAGAGAGAGAATGAGACCAGAACAGAGAGAATGAGACCGGAACAGAGCGAAAGTATCGCTGTCCTGAAATTCCAATATAACACGGAGGCGGCTCCTATATGGGATATATTGTCTTTAATGTGTTAAAGTAACTATTGCGAGAATTTTCCAGTGTTTTCCCTACTTTCATGATACCTACCGTTATTGCTTGAGTAACAGCAATTGTCTAGAGTAATGATAAAATGTCTTAGAACCTCGTATTCACCAAATCATGCAAGATTACAATTTTGCGTTCTGTTTCTGTTTACCGTTGCGATCTCTCGGACTTTCTCGCGGTAGCGCGAGACATCTATCACGGTGCAGTAATGCATACCGTCGCACCCTAGAAATCAGGTCAGAGTGTAAACACAGACGTTCATACTAGCGTAACAGCAGTGTAGTACTAATGCCACGTAAAGTCTGTTATTAGAGAAGCTTGTGGATTGCCAGTCAGATAGTAACACGGGAATGACAATGACAGAAAGTGCTCTGAATTATTGACATAAAAACTCACCACTTTTACCACACAGAATTGCACGCCTCTTTGTTTTAATTATGTACACTTGTTTTGAAAACGGCATTTGTGATTTTGAGAGTCGGGACACGATAAAATTTATTGCTTGTATGTTGTGGTCAAATCAATTTTTCTATTCTATAACTGCATAAAATCTTGGTGTTTTGAATGTTGGTATAATCAGTGATATTTCCACTGTCAGGTGAGACTATATTCAGCTATATTTAGTTTTTCTGAGCAAAAATCTCGCAATACTCACTTTAAGACATAGACTTGATTTGACAAAGTTAATCTCGAAAGTGAAGAATATGTTGATTAAATGAATTCACATTCCATCCATCAAATACAAAATCGTGTGTTTAATTTAAGTCTAGTAAGATCTCAACGACATGAGGCAGTTTTACGAAAAACCAATAAACTTTAGTTATAGAAGTAGTAACTACAAGTCTCAAATTTGGTAGGATATACATTTATATGCATGTTTCTGATATCATAACAGAAAGACATTGTTGTAGGAGATCTGAATGTGAGTGAATAGTTCTCACAAACCCAGGTTGACCTACCTAATTACTTGCTTGTTTTGAAGATGTAATTCTAAAGAGCTATTATTCTTTAACCTCACATGCCTAGCTAATCACTAATGAATGGTGAATCTTTAAAATTGGTTAAATAAGCCACCAGGTGAGAATTTATTTGCTGGTATGCACAGTATGCAGATCGAAAAAGCTCTTGGTGTCAAATGACTACTGTGAGGTACGCTTGATCGTGACAGTATAAGTGTCATTTGCAGCAGCTGTGTGTGAACTGTAATCCAGGCTAACGAGTTTCTCTCTGACATTTACGTAGGTGTGACAGCAATGAGGCTGAAGAGTTTGCTTTGAATGGCACTCGTCCCTTCGCGCAAGGATTTGGATTAAATGAGAACATCTACGTCTATTCTGGCATCGTCGGAACGCTCGCTGTGTTTGGCCTCCTCAGGGCGCTCCTGTTCTTCCATGTCAGTATGCTTGCAGCATGCAATCTACACTCAACAGTGTTTGGAAAGATCTTGAAAGCTCCACTGTGCTTTTTTATGCTCAACCCATTAAGTAAGTACGTAGTGTGTAGTGTATGCATTTTTGCGTGTACATTGCATCATGTTAGTTTATATGAGATGTAAGTCTATTTTTCTAGTATTCCTTGTTCAAATTAAGCCTCTTTTAGCAGGTTTTTATTTACCAGGGTAGGGACAGCAATCAGTTAATACACTGTTATTGTCATAAAGACAATGTAGTCCGTTTTGCAAAAAGCATGTGAGGCTGTACAACACTGCGCAGCTGTATGCTAGAAATGTGTAGCAGGTCCCTGTCCAGTCCTGCACTCGCGTTGCACCTCTTGAATTACCCCTTCACAACTTGGGGCTACGTCTTAGACTCTACTTTAAATGCTACCGATTTCCTGATTGCTCAAACAATGGCAGAACACACACTGCAAGAATCTGAGCAATGAACAGATTATATATAACAGCCTGTGTCATCCTGTACATGTATAAAGTATATTACATTTAAAATCAAAAATTTCTGATATGTGATTTGATACATTATACATGTGATTTCGTTCTCTCTCAAAGTAGTTACCTCTCTTTATACATAAATGGCTTCTTGTGAAACTGCCTCATGTACTCATCTACGCTTGCAGCGTTTATCGGCGGGAACTCCGTCGCTATGACAACATGTAAGTCTTTCATTAGCTTGAGGGATAGACGTGGCATATTCTGCGTCGACAGTTTGGCCATGGGTTGGCAGGTTGACATCTAAGAACTCCAGTCTATAATAATTAACTGTTATAGCATTGCTAGGCAGTTACTGAGCTTCTTGTTAATGCTAGTTCATGCAACATATCTCCTTTCAAGTTTCAGGGATATACTTAGAGAACCACATATGATCAATATAAAACTGATTGTACAAAAAAATTGATGGTAATAGTAATTTTACTACCGTGCATAATTTATACAATGTTCAAAGGTGTAATAATAATAATACATGGCACTACACAAAGCCAAGAATGTATGCATGCATACGGTACGGTATAAAGTGGGACACAAACATATGGTGTTTCTAAGTTGGGCTGAAGGGGTCGTTGTCGTATCAGGTATTACATATATGTACCCGAGGTACATATAGTATACACAAAGTGTACCAGACTTTTACTACAGAAGTGTACCCTAACCCTAACCCTAAACATACCTCATATAAAAATATAAACATAATACTAAACAACCTAAAACTACCTCGGGTACATATATGTAGTACCTGATACGACAATGACCCTTCATGCCTAAGTTGGTATGACTGTGAATGTACCAGTGCCACGGCTACACAGGAAACATACAGCAGCTTCACGTAAATTACTATATATATATTCACCTAGTAATTAATTCGCGTTTTCTTCCAGAAAGTTTTGCATTTCTGTTTTTGAGTTCTGCTTTTAAATCTGCCAGGCTCCAGTTGCGATAATTGGAGACGGCACTGCTACTAGTACTAGGCTGAGCAGACGCCATTTCTAAAACAACTACCTGAATTGCGTAGTGGCGTCATCTGGTGGATTAGTACCGTGGGTTCCCCATTGCATACCAATACCCGCATCGCCAAAAAAGAATTTTTTTATATGTCACTGTCACCTTGTCTATTTTCCAGGCTCTCTCATCAGCCGCTTTACACGTGATGGAGTTATATTGGATGATTTGCTACCTTTCACATTATATGACTTTTTTGAGGTAATTTAGTTAAGGTTGCTGTTTCATCACCACATTTGACAAGCTTTCACAGAATTTCACTGTTGGTTACCTTAAAAACCAGACTTGAATGTTGTTGACCCATTTTGCGCTTTTTAAACAATATTGTAAAAGATTATCCCAGCATCATAGTGTTTAAAGTGTTGGTTTTTCAATCAGACAAGTAGGGACAACAAATACTTCTCTGGTGCCACTTTTTTTTCTTGTCCATTGTAATTGGGTGGCTATTGATGCCAGCTATAAAATATCTGGGCCCATTGTCATAAACATCGTAAAGTTAATGTGAATGTTAATGCTAAGATAACACTTGAGACTAACGTTAATGTTAGAAGACTACTGTTGACAGAAATGCATCGCATCTACCTAAAAACCTACAGTAATAGAAACTTTGTACTGTATACGCCATATTTTTCGTGAATTCAGGCTTGATGGACAATTTCGCAGTTGGTGAATTATGAACTATTCGGTATTATTCGGTATGAATTATTCGCGTGTTGTTATTTTCGCAGTCGAGCACGTGTTCACGAAATTCGTGAAAATTAAACCACCACGAAATATACAGCGTATACAATACTTTGTTGTCACACGGTTGGAGATTTGATGAGAGTCGATCGCAAACCTTAAAGTCATATATTATATTTAATGTTTTTGTTAATTATTAAAAATATCTTCGAAAGAAACTATAGTTACTCAGGATAACCTAACTTGATACTCAAATAGCTCCAGAATACATCACAAAATTCATTTGATTTATTTTTCTAATAGGAGGTGATAGTGGCTCCCTAAACTCCAATTCCCCAACTAAGAGGGTTATACCTTGTCCTGTAATTACGTCATCAAACACTTGCTGTTACTAAATCTTAGTACGGTTTTGGTTTGAGTTGATTACTTGCTCATTTTCATTCATGATAGTATCAAGGCTAAACTGTAATTGGTACCAAACCTCATTGCATTTAAGATGAGATTTTGTGAGATTTGTTTATGTATTCTAATAATGCATAGCCATGTCAGTTTCAATACATATGAAGGTACTGTCAGAGATTGGTCTCTGACTGTTTTAGTCTAGTTAATTCATGATATAGAAGGACTACTATAGTGGAAATATCATGCAATCTAAAGTGTTTGTACAGTCATTTATTGATATAACTGGTTCCAAACGTTGTTGCTATAGTCGTTACACACGAATATATTTCTTTATTGCAGTGTTTCTTGCAAGTGCTGGGTTGCCTGGTTGTGGTAGCAGTGTTTCTGCCATGGACGTTGATAGCCATGGCTGCGTTAATCATTACATTTTTCCTGCTGAGAATATACTACCTGCAGACTGCCAAAGATATCAAATACCTCGAGACCATAAGTAAGCAATTGCATGTACCGGACACATGACCCTAGTTTCCTTGCAGATTTTCAATTAAAATAGGTTTAAATTATGCTATGTAAAAAATTCATTGTTCAGTATTCATTAGAAATACATTTAAAAGGGTTTCAAAAACTGACGGCTATGTCGTTTCATACAACGAAGATATCGCCACTACTAGTGCATCCACTGACAGACAAAAGCCTGGCGCACATTGCCGAACATTTTCCCGAACAAATGTTTTTGTCTGGCAATGTACGGGTGAACAATTGCTGAGCGCACATTGCCAAACATTTTGCAGCAAACAACCTCGTGGCGCCGCCACCAGTAGCTGTGTTGTAAAGAGTCACGTGATCGGCGTGAATGGCGTCATGTGATCACATATCGTGCTGCTATTGGTTACTACTTTACAAATGTTCCTAGAATTGTTCGACATTCAGCGCACATTGACGAACATTCGACGAAAAATGTTCGAGATATCAAACATTTTCGATCTTCAGAAACATTGTTCGGAACAAATGTTTGGCGACTTTTTTCACCGCACATTGCTGAACATTTCATGGAACATTGCTACGATAATGTTTTTGAGCAAAATGTTCGGCAATGTGCGCCGGGCTAAAGTTGCACAACGCAACTTCTCTGCTGCAAGCTACAGACCGAGGGTGTTTCTTATTTAATAATTTAAGAGGAGAAAGATTGCAATATCTTATAAATTTCAGTTATAATGTAGGCAAATTTGTCGTAAAATAGCAGTTAGGTATAAATATAATTGAAATTTTGTGATTAGCCCTCTGTCTGTAACATGCAAAATAAATTGGCAAAAGTGCAACTTCGTCAAGGTGGCAGCACAATCGTGGGGTGTCGTGTCAGCAGTCAAAAATAACAATTTCGAAAGTCGAAATTTCGAAACTCACTGTTGTTTTATGTCAAATTTGAGTGCGTGATTATAGAAATTTGTAGGAATAATGGGTGTAGTATCCCTTTGTTTTCAGGTCTTCAAGTTTTGTTGTCTTTAATATGCTGATAATTTGCCAAGATATCACGTTCTGTTGCTTGATTTTATTGGACAATAATGCTAGAGTAAATCTGTAATAAGCTCCATGATCTCTGTTGCTTGCTTAATGTGAGAAATAATTGTTTATTAGTTTGTAAGCTATGATTTAAATACTGATGTAACGTTGTATGTGTTTAGCTCGGAGGCCTGTGTATAACTACCTGAGCTCAAGTCTAATGGGCCTTCCTACTATCCATGTGTACAACAACCAAGACTACTTCACTCAGCTACTGTACTGCCACCAAGACCTACACAGCTCTGCCTGGTGGCTGTTCCTGGTGACTTCTAGATGGTTTGCGATACGCCTGGACATGGTTTGCACAATGCTTGTGACAATCGTTTCATTCTGCACTATATTCACCGCAGATAGTAAGTGTGGTTACCTTGAGTGTTTACTGTTGATGGATCTATGTAGTATCTGGTTGTATAGTCCATACTTCTTGTCTATTCCATACCATATGCTCGCTACAACATTGTTTGTGGCTAGCATGATTTGTGACAGTGAAATTTTTGCTCACTATTATTTAGTGTATTGCCAAAATTAAGTGTTACATTTTACAGTGTCATAAGTTAATATCGCAGATAAGGTCTATGTCTCCCTGGGTACTGCCGGAACGTACCCTGGGTACGGTCCGGTATACCGGAACGTACCCGGGTAACTATCTGATATGGTTAGGGTTAGGGAGTAGGCGTAGGCGACTCCCTAGACTCGTTAGTGGAGTAGGCGAGGTACGGTCCGGCATATTAGATAGTACCAGGGTACGTTCCTGCAGTACCCAGGGAGACATAGACACTACGGGCGTTAATATCATATTCGGTGTAATTGTTATGTTTAGTTGCTATGGTTACGATTTTATCTAAAAGGTTTTGCTCACTAATTGACTTGTTTGCCTGATGTAAGTGACAAGCAGCTCTAAACAGTCCTTGTTGAGATGGTGTTGTAGAGATAATGCTCAGCAAGGAAGTGCCCTTGGGTGCTGCACATGCCAGGTTTTTTAGAGCAAGTCAAGTGTTGCCTCGGGTGTTGTCAGAAATGTTGCACCAGGACAGGCTGTGGGGGAGGGGGTGGCACACCCATTCAGAGAGAGGGCAGTAAGGCAACGTACTTTTATTAACATTTTTTTCCATAAAAGACAGACGGATACATGCACAGCAATAAGAAAATTTATAGAAAGGTTACATATAAACTTGCTACGGCAGCTCTGGCAACATATATTCCTAGATATCGGCCCAATTTTGAAGCATGAGTAAGCAGTGCAACCTTGGTCTGCCTTGACGAACTTGGAAACAACTTCTAATTGTATGTGGCTAATTTGCTCAGGCGATAGGTCAACTGATGACAAATCACTGTATGTTTAACCGTAGTATGAAAATTTCTCATCTATAGGTCAAAGCGCTGGAAGTGTTGGTCTGACGGTGACATATGCGATAGCTCTGTTCTCATACTTTCAGTGGATGGTACGGCAAAGTGCTGAATTGGAGTCGCAGGTAGGTACCTTGATTTTTAGCTCATAGATGTTCCTTGTGTTCCAGTAATATATGTAACAGTTTAGGTACAGTAGTAGAACCTAATTGATTCTGGCGAGAAAAATATATGGCGGTGGGTGTTTTGGGTCTTAGCATACAAGCATACATAGGTTGTTGTTTTTTTCAAAATAAAAACTGTTTTACTCAGGCCAAACATATATGCCATGTTCAGAGTCACCCAGCCGACTCTGAGAAAAAGTGTCGGATCTAAACGGTTTATTGCCGAACTGCACGTGCTTTTTTGTAAAAAAAATGTGATAAGTAATTTATCTGATTTCGTCAGCATGAAATCCAATAAAACATTTTTGCTTTTTCCGGCTTATATTTATGATATTTCCCATTAAGCTAATTGCAGTTGTACACTGATGGACAAAATAGCTATGACATATGACATATGATGAATCTATATGATCCAGGGATGTTTGCTGTCCTGTTTGTTAAAATCGTGTTTTATCTAAAATTGTTTATAGTGTTTCTAAGTGTCTTAGCTGCGATGGTTCTTAGAACATTTTTACATTTGAAGGAACTTCGTTCGAACAAGCTTTTCCATTTGATTGAACCTTTTTTTTAGTCAAACAAACTTGTTTACATTTGAACAAACTTTTTTCAGTTATGTCCCTTTCAAAGCTCCGTAATAGACATTGGTATACTAATATAAATACTGTAAACATGTATTTTATCAACATAAAATATGATTGCAATTTTCTTGTGTCATTGCATTCTTTTCATCCAAATTTGATAGTTTCTTGCATGTTAAGACATTTGCAATGTTAAGAGGAAGTTTGCTAGGAGTTTTTATTGTTGTAATCGTTGTGCGTTTCTGCAGACAATCTACGAGATGACGTTCATGTTAAGACTAATTGTGTTTCTGACATTGGACCCCTGGCCTTTACTTAACGCTGGGGTTAGGGTTGAAACATGTACTGAGACAAGATACTGAGACACTATGTAGCCTGTGTGCGTGCGTGCGGTGGCTGTGTGTGCGTGCATGCGTGCGTGAGTGTGTGCGTGTGTGCGCGATCAGTTTTGGCACTCCATCCATATTCACAAATATGGTGAGTGTTGATGATGTAGAAATACTTTTCCTCTGCAGATGGCATCAGTGCAGCGGATGCTAACATTCCAATCCATCCCATCAGAAGCACCATGGGAAAATGAATCAGAAAAACCTCCGTGTTACTGGCCACAGCATGGCATTGTGACATTTGAAGGAGTCTACTTCAGCTATTCGCCTGATGGAGCTAGAACACTCAGAAATGTCTTTGCCTGTATTAGAGCAAAGGAGAAGGTATAGGTTCTTGGAGTTGGACCTGAAATTTCTTGGAATAATTTCATTGATATTAATATCAAGAGCGTATAAAGAAGGAGAGTGTACAACGGTGAAATGCTGAAACCATGTTGCAGTATTAGTTGAATTAATAAACTCCCCGTTTTATTTTGATGATTCTTTGCAGTATTATTGATCAGCTGTCCTACCTTGTTAATATAAAACAAACCGCATGTCCATACGATGCCCCTACGTTGAGATAATGAGCGGTGAAAATCTGGTATTTTCGCCGAAAACCGACTCAAGGTCAGTGTTTACTGCGACTGTCTCTCGCTTTGAGATAGCTTGGGGAAACCTCACGTGTTTCCGTCAATGATTGACAACTGGAATGAATGACGTCTGTTATTGATTGCCATAGTGATGACCCCCACCTGTGCCCACCTCACGCTGGATGTATAGTAATCTCTGTAGTACTGACGTGAGTCAGCGCTACCATGGCGCTACACAGCGGCGACCGGAAGCAATACACTGGTCACAAAGCGAGAGACAGTCGCAGTAAACAGTGATCTCGAGTCGGTTGTCGGCGAAAATACCACATTTTCACCGCGCATTATCTCAATGTAGGAACATCGTAGGGACAAGCAGTTTGTTTTATATTAACAAGGTAGGACAGCTGATCAATAATACTGCAAAGAATCATCAAAATTAAACGGGCAGAGTTTCTTAATTCGACTAATACTGCAACATGGTTTCACCATTTCACTGTTGTACGCTCTCCTTCTTTATACGCTCTTGTTAATATTAAAGACCTGAGATACGTCTGCTGATCTGTAGATTTCTGAAATGTTTCTTTTAAAATTCATCACTGAAATTGATGCTAATTCGTAGAGGACTAAATGGTGTATATACTTTGTCCTGCATTATTTATTAAGATCTGCGCAAAGACCATTGTTACAATTACCATCAACATGTGTATGTATATATATATATATTGATTCAAATCTGTGTATATTGATATGGTATAGGTTGGGGTAGTTGGGCAGAGCATCAGTGGTAAAGACTCCATACCAGCTGTGTTATTCAGGCTAGCTGAGCCCAAAGGCACTGTGAGGTTTGATGGTGTGGACATATCACATTTGGGTTTGCATGACTTCAGGAGAAAGGTGTCCATCATACCTGCAGTAAGTACACATTCTCACTAAACTTAAGAACTAGATTTAGGCTTAATAAAACTGGCATGGTTCCATATATACTGGAAAATGCACAACATAGCACGAGGCTATATACTGTAAAGTCACTTATTTTCGTGGGTTCCAATTTTCGTGGTTTCAATAAAAAATACATGTGCGTTGGTTTTTCAATTCGTGGATCAAGCCTTCAAAGAATTTTTTTTTTTAAACAATGCTAACAAACAGATTACTAACCTGAGTGAGATTACTAACATGTCGGGGTTGTTGATAGTATATATTACTAGTACGCACAAACGGCAGGCGTCGGTTTGCGGGCCTCCACTCCGGAACCGGCAATTGACATATGTACATAATATTTCGTTGGGTACATAAATTTGTGGATTGATGGACCCACGAAATCCACGAAAATTAGAACACCATGAAAAAAAGGATTTTACAGTAATAGGTGAAGACTGAAGTGTAAAATAGAGGGTGTGCATATAAAGTGTGAATATGGAATCTTGTATTTTAAATGCAAGCATTCAGGACATTATATGTCTTCCTCTTGCTAAACCAGATTAGAAAAGCCTGTAACAAGAGAACACAATATAATATGTTACCATGTACCAACCATTGCAATTTTGGCATAATAATTAAGGTATTTGACATGTAAATATGCTATTGCAAAATGGCAACCATAGTCCTACATTTAGATAGCTGAGTGCTCTCACCCTGTCGGATACACAAGATGTTACAATGAATGCTCAATATGGCGTGTTTATATATGTAATGTAAATTACATAGTATATACAACAATATGTAAATTTCACCTGCCATTCTCTTTACATAGTTGTATGTAATATTTGATAGATTATTAGCAGGAATATAACTTTATATTGCATGAACCGAGACTTGCTAAGTGTTGGTAAGTAGTAGAGTTATCAGTAGTAGTAACATCATACCAACATAACTGTCATATTATCATATTATATATATATGCATTATACGTTATATATACATGCTGACCTTTATTTACTAAAAATTGTATATGTGAATGTAATTGTGTTGCAGGACCCAGTAATGTTCAGCTGCAGTGTACGCATGAATCTAGATCCATTCCAAGACCACACGGATGCTGACTTATGGGATGTACTTGAAGAAGTAATGATTTGTTATATTGCATGATGACTAATTTGTTATGTACTACTTTAATAAATAGGGAGTAGAACTGATTATTTTATGTAAATTGAGATTCATTAAATATTGAAGGGTCCTGTCTTCATTAATGCCTGAATTTGTGCGCATAAATTATTATACATTTGGGCCAATATAATATGCACGTTTTGCAGTGTCGTAATCGTGCATTGATAATGTTTCTGTCTGTAATGCGATATAATTCTATCACAGGTGCAGTTAAAGCAAGCATTAGAGGAGCTTCCACAGAGGCTGGACACTGTGCTCTTCAACAGTGGTGCATATTTTAGTACTGGTCAGAAGCACCTGTTCTCACTCGCACGCGCCATCCTCAAGAGCAATCGCATTCTGATTATCGAGGAGCCACTGCCTACAAACATTGACTACAGGTGTGGTATAAATCTGTGGTGTGGTAAAGTCATGTCTTAGAATAGTATAACACATTAAATAACCAGTTGAGTGTATGCATAACAAAAGTCTAACTGTGATTCCTGCTTTGCCATCCAACTGCTTCGAAACTAATTTCATGAGGCATTCTAGGCCCTTGACCCCGTAATACAGGCATGGGAATTTTCTGAGGGTCCATGGATTTGACAATCACCTGGGAAGATCATGTGAAGTATCTAAATTTGATCATTGACATAGAAATTTAGGCGGGGTGTACTTGGGTTAGTTTAATTCGTATAGAGAAGGCTACTTGTAACCTTCAGCACGATAGAAAATGTCATCACATCTGATTATAAAAATGAAATTGACCTTTGCATCAGACAAAGTGACTCGGACAAAAATGCTAATGCTTCACTGCTTTCTTACATGCCCATAGAATTGCAAGGCCTCTTTGCTGATTGGCTATGATATGTAAAAAAATGGTCATGTTTAGTTAAGCATAGTTGAAGAGTTTTCTCTCACCTGTCAAGATTATCACCTCATCTAGACTAGTACCAGTGCCCTATCACTTTATGCAATTACCATTAACACAGTGTAGAGACCATGTAGGAAACAAGTGACATCAACAAGTAACCAACAACAAGTAATCAACTAGAAAATTATAATCGTTGCATATGTTAGTGAAAGTAATAAAGTACGAGTGTTCTAAGACACTTAGTCTTACTATAGACACTTGCTGCAGTGCACACAACGCCAGCTACTATCATAATAGTGGGGAAATGTTGTGAAAATGGTCACGAAAATTTTCTGATATCCTCACTTTAAATACAATGCGCTGAATTTAGTGCACGCATTGTATGGTATGTTTCGCAGGTAACAGTTTGATATGACTTGTGTTGTGCAGAACGGATATGGTCATACAACAAGTGGTGAGGCAGAAGTTCCAGCACTGCACCGTCATCACGATTGCAAACCGACTCAGTGGCATCATGGACTCTGATCGTGTTATGGTATGCATCATTCTCTTAACTACCGCTTTCAATCGGTGGTGGTGATCAGTGTTTTAGAATGAAAGGGTATTCGTAGTTGTTTGAGTACCGCGAGCCTTTAGGGCAGGGGTTCTTAACCTGTGGTCTGTGGACCTCTTTGGGGTCCGTGGATGTGCTTCAGGGGGTTCGTGAACCAGGCGCATAAAAATTATTGTGTTTATGTGCTTATGTGCATTTTTCTGGGGAAGGGTCCGTAGCTTTTATAAGATTCTCAAAGGGGTCCATGACTCAAAAAAGGTTAAGAACCACTGCTTTAGGACAATGTATGTTGCCAAGTACAGGACTATGGTACAAGCACGCTGTTTTACAGTTTTAAAGCAAACAAACTGTTTGCTGAGGTAGTCTCAGTGATATATATATATATATTGAATCATGCTTAAAGGAGAGCTTGAACCACATGGTCATATAAATAGGATCTAATTTGTTACATGTATGCACTGTTGTTTTGTAGGTGCTAGTAGATGGTAGAATCAGAGAGTTTGATGAACCGTTTACACTACTGCAAGATGACAGCAGTCTCTTTTACAAGATGGTGGAGACATCTGGTGGCAGGCGTGAGACTGAGCAGCTGCTTGATATTGCGCGGCAAGCATACCTCGTGAGAAATGCACCTGACGTTACTAAAGGTAGTAGCATGTATAATCAACGCTCTGCTATGGTTGGCATGGGCCCATGTGTCAGCATAGGATCTGATGACCTCGACATTGATGATGGGAACTGTGAAACTATGGTATGATAAATTGCCAGGATGACTAGGAGTGAATATGAAACTTTACTATCACAATTAATTTGACAGACAAGGAAAGTTATTTATTTCATAAATATTGTGTGATAGTAACAACATCATCGGTCGTGAAAGAAATCAATCGATCGTTAGTGGAGAAATTAATGTCCATCACCACCTATTACTAAGAAATTGGGTGAAGTGACTAAACAAATCCATATCTATTTCCATATATATCCATAAATCCATATGTGTACGTGGCAATCAATATATTTCGTAACGAACTGCAATTGGGTGCCGAATTGGTACACCATTGTCCATGTGTTGTACACTATTTACATGTTTAGTCTGTGTTTTGTCTGTTTTTCCAATTTCATAGTGTATGTTGTATACCAACTATACCAAGTTCTCTATACTAAGTCCGCATCTAACATCATGGTTACCTTCTTGTAAAGCTCAACGGTACTGGAATCGAGTTCCTTCCTTATTCCCGTTACCTTTCCAGTGACATTTTCACTTTTGTTCATGCAAATCTATATAATAGTTATTGTTATCAAGTGCACACTATGCTATTTGCAGATTGTTGGAAATTAGTTTTAGTTTAGCGAGTGCTAGAGCATGTTGAAATGTTCATTTGGAATAATAAGGCAACAGGCGTGAAGATAACTATGACTAGGATAGATAATAATTACATCACTGTATGTTACTATAATCACGACATTCAAATGTTGGTATTATTGTATATGCAGCATATCTGAGTAATATGATCTCTGGCTACTTAGTTAGATACTGGCCAGTATATCAGGGTGGCCTTTAAGCCCACGCATTCACCTTGGTTTCATAAAACTAACGTGCCTTCTCCACGAAAATGCCCTGAATCCAACTATTCTATATTTGCATTATTTATGATATAATTGTTATTCCAGCTTTTAGAAGATTAGAAAAAGGGTTTATATATGGTAAATTTAACAATCTAGACCAAAGTAACACGTATTCCTAAGTAGGAATATAACCACATATCTTTATAACTTCAATGTTCCAGTTTCTGACTTTTAACATTGATGTCTGTGATGTCACTGTGTTTCGTGCAGTTAACATTTGTTCCACATGTTCCAGTTGAGGTATTATTTTAAATGTAATCTGCTCTCATGAATACTTTAAATAGTAATTATGATAACAGTAACGTATCTTATATAGAAGTAATATCTGAATCATGTGAAATTAAAGATTGCGTTGTCATATCTTAAAGGGGTACAACGCCCATAATTTTATGGGTATATTTGATAGTAAGTGCATAAATAATAGTACTATATACCTACAAATTTCTATAATCATGCATTCACATTTCTCATAAAACAACAGTTAGTTTTGAAATCTTTATTTTTGCTGCTGACATGTCACCCCGTGATTGTGCTAGCTATTAGTGAGGCATAAAATAGTTAGCAGCGTTCACCATTCATTCAAAAGGAGTATGTACATTGCTTAGCAGCAGCAACCAGACAGTACGCAAGTAATTGTGTATGCTGGTATTGCTGGTGTTTCCTGGAACAAGGCCTAACTAAAGAAATAGATTAACTGCAGGATTTAGGATGTAGGTGTGTGCCGCATTGCATTTCTGGCCTTGCTACTGACATGTTAAAGGTGCCCTCCACGAAATTTCAAGCGACAAACATAAAATCAGGCAAAAATGAAGTATTTTAACATTGCACGTTGTACTTGCCTATATATGTCTGATAGCTAAAAAAAAATGGCTCGGGAATACGTTTATCAAAGCTTTTAGACTACAAAGTGAAACGTGTCGGGTTGAAAGTTTTAACAGCGTTTCTTTTGCCGCCCTGCGCGCGATGTTGTGACGTATTACGTCGTCATCAATAAATGAGTCATATTACACAGAACCGCCATTATACAGAACCGCAGCGAAAGCGATTTTGAGTTGGTGTTTCGTTGAGCAAATATAGGCTTGATACATATTTTTACAGTTTAATTTTCAAAGTTAACGTTCAGTTAAAGTGTAGTGAGTTATTTATTTACGTTTTTACAGTAGTTTGTTACAAAAATGTGCGTGTGGAAGACATCTTGAATCAATGCTAGCACTCGTATGCACAGGCACTTGGGACAGTCAGTAAAAACTGAAAATAATATGAACGCACATTCACAAATACTACCGTAGGCCCTACCTCTCAATTACAGTTCACTGTTGTGTCACTGTATATCAACTTTCCTTCATAAAAACTAACGCCGGACGCTGCCGCACTCGCCGCTGCGAGTGTGCTGTGTCGCTATGATAATAATAATAATATATAAAGCTTATATATATTATTATCATTATCATGGCGACACGGCACACTCGCAGCAGCGAGTGCGGGAGCGTTCGGCGTTAGTTTTTATGAAGGAAAGTTGTTGATATACAGTGACACACAGTGCCGAATCTCCACCCAAATCCAT